CACACACGTCCACCCACGCCACGCGCACCCAACCACACACTACGCCCCAGCACAACACGCCGCTCAACCCGTCACCCCCCTCACCCCCCCATCCACGCTTCATCCCCATCCCGCCCACTACCCATCCAACCCCCATCACCCCATCCACGCTGCATCACCCGCCATCCCACGCCCCCACGGCTCCTCACTTCTTCCACCCCCCTTACACCCACTCGCCCTAAACCATCACCCCCCTTACACCCACCCCTCGCCCTCACCCATCACGCCCATTCACCATCCACGCACTCAACCACTCTGCCCGTCACCACACCTCCCACGCCTACACACCCCTCGCCTCACCCATCCACGCTCCTCTTCACCCATTCCACGCCACCCCATTCACTCCATCTACCCATCCACTACCCATTCCACCCCCTCACAGCCATCCCAGCCCCATCAGCCATTCCACCATCCCACGCAGGCATTAACCCAGACTTACTATAAGTAAGATATAGGATAGTAATACACTTGTGTTAAGTTTACAAAATCTCATCTTGCACACTCATCATTATATCAATCTTTCATAATAATACTATATTTAATGGATAATAGTGACCGTCTTAACAAACAGTGATGTTTTTATTTTGTAGCCACGTCATAGCGCACATGTAGCGCTCCGAAAATTGTCTCGCCCAATATTACTTGACTCTCATTACAAAACTTTTTGAATAGTATATTTTGACATTTGTCAAATGCACTGCCAGGTGAAGAAATAATAAGCTGAGATAAGTGAAAGTGTCTTGAAAGTAAAATATTTTGTTTTAAATGCACTAAAATAACTGCTCTGAATAAGAAATTGTTTTTGACACGCCAACACATTTAAGGAAAAAAGCAGCCCTTTTTCCCGTTGTTTACATTTTTCCTGTGTAGTCATCTGGAGAACCTAAAGAGGTAAAAATCTTCGAAGAAGCACGGAATCAACAACCGGTTGAACTCTTACAGGGGGATATCCCCTTGTCGCGGAATGAGTCAAACCAAAAATGGCTCTTGGCGTCAAAACTTCTTACGGGGAAGGGAATTATTTTTTAAACCAAGGGCATTAGATTAAAAAAAGAAAAAAAAAGTCCTCCCTCTTTAAATCTCCCCTTTTCCCCTCCACAGCCATCCCACGCCCCCCTCACAGCCATCTCACGCTCCCTCACAGCCATCCCACGCTCCCTCACATCCATCCCACGCCCCCTCACATCCATCCCACGCCCCCTCACATCCATCCCACGCAGGCATTACAACCAGACTTACTATAAGTAAGATATAGGATAGTAATACACTTGTGTTAAGTTTACAAAATCTCATCTTGCACACTCATCATTATATCATCGTTTCATAATATACTATTTTAATGGATAATAGTGACCGTTCTTAAAAAACAGTGATGTTTGTTATTTTGTAGCACGTCATAGCGCACATGTAGCGCTCCGAAAATTTGTCTCGCGCAATATTACTGACTCTCATTACAAAACTTTTTGAATAGTATATTTTGACATTTGTCAAGTGGCACTGCCAGGTGAAGAAATAATAAGCTGAGATAAGTGAAAGTGTCTTGAAAATAAATATGTTTGTGTTAAATCACTAAATACTGCTCTGGAATAGAATTGGTTTTTGACACGCCAACACATTTAAGGAAAGGCCGCTTTTCCCGTGTTTACATTTTTCCTGTGTAGTCATCTGGAGAACCTAAGAGGTAAAAATCTTCGAGAGCACGAATCACAACGGTTGACTCTACAGGGGATATTCCCTGTGGGATGAGTCACAAGTGCTTTGGCGTCAACTCTTACGAGAATATTTACAAGCATAGATTAGAAAGTCTCTTAGCAAAATATGATATTTTATTTACTACTATTTACTTAGTATTTTTACATTTATTGTTTTTATAAAACAAACATTTTTTTACAACTTGTGTCAGAAACTTTCAGGCACATCTTATAGTGCATAATATGGCATTTTATGTTGAAGCAGTATTACTGGAATATTTTTAAACAAATAGAATAATTTTAATATAATAGTATATTTCGCAACAATTTTATTATTTGGATCGTAGTATGCACGACTAATAACTAAACGACCGTTTTTAGGTTTCTTGAGGTGTTTAGTTTTTACAAGCGAAATAAAGAATCATACTAACTTTTGAAATAACAAGCTACATAAAGACTTTCTGGAATAACATAAACTGATTAAGTAGAGAACATCTCTATCGTGTTTGCTTTTAGATTTTAGTATTGCTCATTATTTATAGAGATTGTTCAGAACGCCATCCCCATTAATAATTCAACCATAATTTAGAACAAAATCTTGTAATGAGAACCTATTAACATTTAATTTTTTCAAATTATCACGATGCTATGATATTAAAAATTATACCAAAACGTATGATGTCTGTAGATATTTCTGTTATATTCCATATTTTATATTCTTTTGTATACTAACCAACCCCGCCGATTTGAACGTTTTACTGTCATTAACGGCTTGTTAATATCGATACCAGTACACATTAATTTATACCACACATTTAATAAAATATAATCATAATTTTTTTCCGAAGTAGATCCACAATTGCGATGCATCGCAGTTCAGCATGCGACTTCTGCTTCCTAAAGAAAATGTCAGGACACGATAATATGGACACTTTAAAGCATATTTACTTAGAAATTCCCTGTCATATTTTTTAAGCAGTTACAAATGCATTCTACTATTTGAAGATTGCAGAAAAATATACCCCATCGTAGTGAGTTACAAAAAACAGAAAACAAATATTTTAAAATTCTGTTTTTAAATGATAACTTAAAATAGCAAAATGTGTACGGTACGTCCTCTACGAGACTACATACTCTTAACTGTACTATCTCAACACTTCTTGTGTTAGTGCAAATTACCGCAAAATACGTAATTGACTGGCTGTAATTAGTTGCATGTGGCGATTTCATGGTATTTGTCACAAGAAACATTACAACATCAGTTTCAATTTTTTACTACTATTATTAGGAATACGAGTACATAATTCACCACAATTCGAATTGAATTAAAACGGAATAGGTAAAAGAACATGTATAATATTATTGGCGAGACTGTGGTACTTTAATTAACATATCACATTCGGTTGATTAATTATATCCTATGCGATCCCTGGGGCTACTAAAACTAGAACGTTCCATTTTAAAACTTTACATATTGATATCTTAAAATTTATCTCTAAGCAATTTTGTCAGCAAAACTTTTCTTCGTTGTTGATACCGTTGGACGCATTTATTTTCATAGTATCTTTTTATACATTAATATAAATACCATGACTTCATTTGTGCAGAAATATTAATATTTTTCTATGTATTAATTTTTGCGATTAAATGCCATTTTATAAACAATTTAATGTACGGAAGAATGTATTTGTTAACGATACAGAAAAAATATATTAATTTTATGATTTTACTGCAGACTTCTAGACCATTGCATGTGTTTTGCAGAGAACGTATAACAGGGTGCAGTTATCCCTTCATCAAAAAGTGTTTTCGTATTATTAATTATAAAAAAAGTGACATCAGTATTATCTATTGTTATACTTTCACAATGTTACCTAATTAATTCTCCTAAGCCTGCTAATTAAGCCTCCTAATCATTTGGCACAGTCACCACGTTTACGAACCCATGTTTATGAATGATTTCCTCGCCAAGGGTACAGCAAAATATCGAGGAAACTTTTAGTAACTACGTACGTTGCGACAAACTTGTGAAGTGGTTTGTAGTATGTGACGAACGTCTCAAGGACAAGCAACGTACTGAGGCTACTACTGTTGATGCCTCATTCAAGAGGGAGCTGGTGAAATGAAATTGTAGATATTTACTCATCAAGTTTCGAAAAATCAATGTTTTTCGCAAAATTTTTAAATTATGTAGGGACGATCAAAGAAAAGAAAACTATAGCATAAACCTTAACTTCAGTCGAATTTTGTATTTGTGCGTCTCGTCTTAAATCTTTTTTTTCATAAAATTTGCGACTGTAGGTTTAATAAATTTTATTTTATAGAGTAATGATCTATAATTGAATTGAGATGTAACAATAGTCATCAATGAAGCTTATTTTATTTTAAAGAGTTATCGACGTACAAAATTTGCAGTGAAGAGTCTGAAATGAAAAATTTAAATTCAAATAAGACTCGTTCACGTGCGCACACGTACGATTCGTTCATGCGCTGTACACCTGGGAGAATAAACGTGTGGTGAAAATAGGAGGGATGAAAAAGGACGTTT